ATTCATTAGTATTTTTACTTATCCTGTTTCTCTAAACATATGATTATACTAAATAACTCTACTTTTCTCAAAGTATTTGTGCTAGCTGTCATGTCCCTGTGACAATGCAATTGGCTAGGATACCAGTCTGTCCTCTGAAAACCCATTTTCTTTCCCATCCTGCATTCCTGCTTCCGCTTTTAAGCAGGAAATCTACTTCTAGCAATAAGCAGCTTGTGCAAAATAGCTACTGGAAAACAACTGCCAGTACCACGTCTTTTTTTTTTTTTTAAATCAAGATGATCAGTAATTTGTTTCAGTTGCCTTAAGAATATAAAATATTCCCATTTATTTAAAGCCTCTGGATCTAGGCTATTTGAGCTTGCTCTGTACTTAACAAGTACAGAGGAAAGCATTTCATGACATACATATCTTTAAAAAAAAAACAACATGCCAACTTTCAGGCCCTGCTAATGCTGCCATGGTATCAGACATGGTAACTGTAAAATGTGTTGCCTGTCTATGAATTGAATTCTTCTGGGTACAAAGTTTTTACTGTGTGTATACAGCACACAATACAGTCAGGTTTTTTGATACTGAATAGTAATTTCTATTGCTACAGAAATAATAATTTTATCTATGCCATAAAACAAAGGGAATAGCATCACAAGTGATTATGTTAGGTTATGTTCTAAGTTTTTGTCATTTGATACTGGATATTTTTCTCACATACATGAAAGATTTTAGGTTCGCAATACTAATGAAGTAATTATTTGTTTAAAGATTTAAGTTTAGAAATTGAACCAAAAACTAGTGATATTCAGGAAATCAAGACTTTCATCCCACAGTATATTCACAGCAGTCACTGTTGTGATTTCACATCTAAAATATACCTAAATTCAACTGCAACTGAAATATTTTTAACATTCCTAGTTATAAAGCTACACAGTATTCCACAGAACTGTGACTTCCCATAGATAGTCAGTTACTACTTTGCATTTGAACAGCCTTTTCACTGGGTGGAGTAACCACAGATACAAAAATCCCAAGATATTTTCAGAATGCCAATATGAAGTAAGAACGTAAATAATTAACTTTGGTTGTACATATCAGAAGCAAATAGTAGTCTTTGCACTTCTGCTAAAATACTTCCATTACTTAAAAAATAAGTCTTTACGCACAGGTTATCTTAAGGTTTCTCTGAAATTATTTCCAAGAGCAAGGGCTGAAAACCAAACCTGAAGCATTTTCATGTTTCCATCTACTTCTTATCAATATACTATTTGTTGGGTTTGGTACATACTGATTTCCTTGGCATCTGCATTATTACTTACCTTCCAACAGGTGTCCAACTTGAACTAAATGAGAGTGACATCTCCAGAGTAAGTTTACAGAAATCTAAATTACTGCACCTCATGCAAATAAACACCATGCTTCATCTACCCCATAAAATTTGGAATCCATTTTCCATTCCAGGGCTTTAGCTTTCCACTTAAGTTTTTCAGCAGATGGAAGGTGCAACATATTTGTTGGATATTTTATGTTCAGTAAAATATGTTGGATATTTTATGTTCAGTAAGTCTACCGTAATAAATGGAAATGCTCTTTGAAATGGGGAAGACATTCCTATGGAGTATGTCACTTCCAGACACAATGTTCTGCTAATTTTTAATGCAATTATTATTTTGATTTACAATTGTTCTGAAGGATATTTTGTTAATCACTTTTCATTTATGCTTTGTTACAAGGAAAATCAGCTCTAATTCTATAAAAGGACTATTTTACATTTATTTATTATCGTGATGCATAATTTTACACAATGAAACTGTTTGACCTATAGTAACCACAGGTATTACCTGTGATGTGTAAAGCATTCATATCACACCTTGTTTAGGTTAGTCAAATACTTTCTTTAAGCCGAAATGTTCCTCTTTCCCTTTGTTCAAAATTTTAATCATCGGTATTTTATTGAAACTGGATTTAGATACACATTGTGAACAACAAAGGCATAAACAACATTGCATTTTGTTTTTAAAACTTCTTGACATCAGAACTCCTAATGACCTTGACGGATCTTATTAATTAAATATTATTAATCATACAGTTTATTGATCTTTATATATTAAGATTTCTATTAACTATACAGAAAAGAGATTTGTGTTCACAAAACATTTTTTCTTTTAAAATGATTTTTTTCTGCTTCTTCCTTTAATATTGCATGAAGTCTTAAACTACTTCTTTAGACAACTGTCATTTGTAAAGCAGGTAACACCCAGAATGTATCTCCTTGAGAACTGTACTTTCCAAGGAATAGTGTAATTGCAAATATTCTGTAATATACATATATATTTCTCAGTTTATCTTTGATTCATGGATCAACAAAATAGTAATTTAATGAAAAACTGTCTAAAGTAAGAACCACCCATCACAAACCTGTCTAGGCTTATAGTCAACTGTATTTTATTCCTTACATAGATAATACCAGGGCTTGATTTTCCAACAGTCCTAATAATCTTACAGATAACTCTGAAATGTACATGCTATCTTTACTTTGATGACCTTGAATAACAAATAGTTATGCATATTTTCAGGATTCCAAACTTGTGCCTCCTAGGCACAAAGATACAAACACTTTCTGTGTGGTTCATAATCATCAACTTCCTTATTTACTCGTTTTTAACTCTGTTTTCATTTATTTTATTTTATTTAAAATTTTATTTATTTATTTTATGTATTTACTCTTTTAACTCTTTTTTAAGTCCTTTTTGGAGTTTCATGCTGCACCTGGTCTTCCTCAGAAAAGGTGTTTGTATAAATATTGCAATAATACTAAATTTTCTTATATAAAAACTTATTTAAACATGTCCTGCATCAGAATTAGTGTGGCCAGCAGGACTAGGAAGTGATTGACCCCTTGTACACTGGTGAGACCACACCTTCAATATTGTGTCCAATTTTGGGCATAACATTTATGACAGACTGAGGAAATTCAGGTTGTTTAGTCTGCAGAAGAGGAGGCTGAGGGGAGACCTCATCACTCCCTACAATTTATGACACTGATTTACCAGATTACTGGAACTGCAAACTAATGTTATCTGCATATCTAAGTGCTACTCATCGAAGAAAGGTCACCGTTTATCCAGTTATATCTACTACTAGATTAAAACCTAAAATTACATCTTATAAGAAACCAAATCAAAGAGTCTTAATGAACCAGTATTTAAAGACTAATTCAAAGTTTATTCCATCTCATGGAGATGTTCTCCAGATTTTATTGGCTTCAGAGAATTTTAGGGAGCATTTTCACAACAGGCTTGAGATAATTTAGGAATACCTAACACCTGTTCATATTTCCACACTTCTCTCTCCTTTGTACTGACAATATTGACTGTGCAATTGCACAGTAATATCAAACTCAAAACTATTCCTTATTATACAGTAAGGACTGTAGTTATTAGGGTTTCTGAATGAGAGTTTGGGGACAGGAAATTGAGGGGGTACTGGTGATGTTTTATAGTTTGTGGTTTGCTTCCATCCCCCCCCACACACACACACACACCAATTGGGCTATTGCACACTTGCAGTTTCCCATATAAGTAGGGAGAAGGAATCCAGGGTCGGAGGTGGGGGAACCAAAGCTGCCATTCTGATTGCAACACAGGCTGAGAATGGTCTATGCCGATCTTGAGACCATACCTAAAGGTATCACTGCCAAGATATTAATGCCTTCATTTCCATATACCATTTGGCATTGATTCACTTTTAATTAGTTTTTGGATGTGATCGATCATGCTTTCAACTACTAGGCACACTACCATATCAAATTTTAGAACCCTTAGAAAAAAAATGTACTACAGAAATATGAACTTCAGAGGCCAGGAGTGGAAAATAAGCATAGGAAATTTCAATCCCACTTCCTTTGTGTTTCAAACATGCTGTTTTCCAAAGGCACACATGAAAAAGCAAAGTCATGATGCTTTGACCTCAATGGTTTTTCATCTATTTTCTCACATTGTAGAAGTCTGAGTCCTAATTAGCAGAATGTGGAATCTTGCATTTATTTATTTTTCTGATTTCCAGCACGTGTTAAGGATTTTTTACAAAGAGCAACACTAGAGTGCACACATCCCAACTTATAACCAAAAGAGTCAAAAAGACACTTCTAAGGTGATCAGAGAATGAATTTGAGAGCTTCTCTCTGCCTACCTGAAATTTGAATCCAGATTTGGATTTACAGCCAAATCTGTCATAACTCCCAACCATTCCAGAATATTTTGAAATACAGCTCCTTATTCCATCTGTTGTGGGAATTCAGACGGGTTACATCTGCTCTATTTTGTAGAGAGCTCTTCTATTGGAACAGGGATGAACACTGCTTTTTGACTCTTTGCACTGACTTCAGAGCAATTAGGTCTCACCCAAATGGATGTGCAAGAGGTAGGGATTTGACTGGGATCCTAGACCTCCTCTGTCTAGTCCTATTAGTAGCAAATACAGTAAAGGGGTGACATCTACAAACAAGGAGCTACTGAATCCCTTGGCTGGAAAAGATGTGTTCTGTGCCAGAACAACATTCATAATCACAGCCAATAAATGTAAAATGACAAGTGTCCTTAAATTCTGTTCTCTTCTTTAATTAAGTTTCACCCATGGTTTGAAAAAAAATCAATAGCACCACATCTTTATGCTTGTTGATCCCATTGTAAACTGAGGTGGTAGAGACTGTTATAGATAACTTCTAAGTGCCTTTGTCCTACAAAGGCTGTACTTTACAATGAAATTTTGCATCTAGCACCAATCTCCACACACACAAACGCAAAAAAAATACACCAAGAATTCTTATGTCTGCATGTGTACTGAGTTCATCACGACACTATGCTAAGCTGCAAAAAAATAGAGAAGATTTTTGATGAACTGTTTTGAACATCAAACCAATTAATACAAGTAACAAATTCTACACATTTTTTTCTTCACAATGTTTATATGCAATTTAGATTAAAAAATAATGTCATACTGCTTACCAATCTTTTCTTCTGTTCTCTTCAAGACTGGTGACTATTCACTCATTGAGTAATTCTAAAAAATAAAATAAAATAAAATAAAAATATATATATAATTCAGGAATACTTATTTTAGGCATCAAGGTCATGTAAAAAGTTGCTTTAAATACTCTCAATTCAGCATTTCTCACATGCAATTAAAGATAGAATAGAAAAAAAAACAACTGTTGAACAATGTTCTACACCTTACTGTAAGTTTCCCTATAACCAAAATCACTGTAATGGATTTGAACTTGTGTATGTAATTCAACATCCACTTCTACAGTTGTCTTTATTAAGACTTTATTAAGTACATCACCTACATGTCTGTTCCCTATGGTCTCTGTGCAGTTATATATCACAATTACAACTATCCACAACTTAGTGTTCCTAAAATTCCTATAATGGAGATGAGAGTTCAGAGTATTAAAAAACAGAGGATGGGGACTGCATACGTTCAAAGCAGTCTTATTGCAGTTACGTTTTTCTGGTGCTTTCTACACAGATGTAGACAATGCAGCTCCTGCCTAACACAGTGTATGACAGTTATATCCAAAACAAGTTCATTTCAAGATCAAGTTAGAAAACCTCAGAGCACATCCTGAAGACAAAAATAAAAAATAATAAAAAATCCACCTTCTTTCATAGGAAAATCTAAAATATTTCTTTACATTTTGTGACAAAATATCAAATAAATGTACACAAATATATATATATATATATAATACTGTCCTTATATATCTTTTTTTACAACTATTTTCTTTGTTTTCTTTCATTACACAATTTAATTACAGAATTTCAAGGATCAGTTCATTAACAAAAGCTTCATACGCAGCTTAATTTAGCTTGGATTTAGATTGCACAGAGAGCTATCTTTTCTAGCTATCATGAGGGCTTAAGGGAAAGTTTTGATTTATTTTTTAGCCTCGGTGCTCCCCACAAATGGAGAGCTTACAGGAGCTGTTTACAGTGACAAGGAGGCTGGCAATGCTACTTTTATTTCATACAAAAAGGTAAAATAGCAACAACAAAGAAAAGCATTTAAAGAGTAAAATGATTTTGTATACAATACTCTGTTCTGTGGCAATTAAGAGTTTCATTTATAGCAGATTGTTACCAAAGTAGTGCCAACACTATTTATTAATTAAAGGTGTTTTTTCATCATTAGCTCCTTTGTGAAGAAAGTGAGAATTAGCCTACTGTTTCTGGGGAATTACAGTTTTCTAATCATTTTTAAAATGAAGGTGACTAGTTCTGCCACCTATGTGCCCTGCAAACATTCTGCCTCTTATACATGCCAAAAATTCTGACAGCTCCTTCAGACTGTCTATACATTACTTTAAATATTTCTGTACAGATTTTTTATTATTTTGTACATCAACCAAAATCTGCGCTGGTGTTCTTTTAAAGCAACTCTGCTCTTTGCTTTCAAAAGAACATGTTGTTTCATTCCCCTAAAGAAGCTCAGAACATCAAGGAAAATAACATCAAGTGATAGTGGGTTCAAACGTATTTCTAATCTTTACAACCCTTCAGTACTTACATTAAAAAAAAAGTGAGGCATAATTTATTTCTGATGAAACAGAGTTGCTCAGCTTTCTGCTAATAGGATCCTCAGGGCAAAAGGGGTAGGGAAAGCACTGATAAAAGAAGAGAGCTTCATTTTACTGTTTTTTGCTAGTCTGGAAACAATAAATTAATAATAGTGTTTACTCTGATTATCGTTGATTTAGGATAAATTGTTCTCATTTAGCAAATGGGGAAATGAAATTCAATGCCCAAGGGACTGAGAATATAAATCTATGCCAATGGCTACAATTGAAGATACATTTACAGACCCATTCTGAATTCCTGGATTAATTCCAATCATTGCTGATAGCAGGGAGGCTGATATCCTAGCACTATTTAACCAGTTTTTTGATCCAAGTAGGCGCTCCCTTCCTCATTCCTCTCTTTGCTTCCTCCTCTGCTTTTCTCATGTCCGTCATGACTTATTTTTACTTTATATATATTTTTTAATCCTTGAAGGGTCACTAGCATTTAAGTTTCTCCTCTGTCTTTTGGGGAAAAGAAGGTACAGTTCTTTCTCAGCAGTACACCTATATTTTGATACTGTTCATCTGAAATTCTTCTTTGGCCAATTCTTAATTAATTACAAGTGAAATGTAACAGACAACCTTAAAAAGGCATGCTGTCACATTAAAAAAACAAACAACAACAATAACAAAAAACAGTACTTCTCAGAAGAAGCGTCATGCAAGTAACAGAAACACCATTACTCAGCTGAGAAGATAGCCTGAACTAAGTATACTATTAAAAGTGCTTTCATTTCTTTACAGTGTTGCTTTATTATCATACTTCCTGTGCTTGGAAATAATGAAAGAGGATACATAACACGGCATTGAAGATGATGGCAAACAGCAAAATCTTCAGGCTAGTATTGTAATTCCTACTATGGAAGTATCACCATTTATTACCACTCATTAAATTTTAATTTAATAGAACATCTTTAAAAGGTCATTTTAAAAACAGGAGTATTGTAGCCAATATTACTGACTAGTTAACCGCTTTGAGAACACAAATCTTCACAGATATGTTGCTCTGAATTATTAAAGTATAAATCTGATTAATTTAGATTATTTTTTTTTAATAAAAATATATATTGCTTTCAAATTTAACTAGCACAACCTATTTGTTGTGGTGACCTTGATCTTTAAAATGACATTCTGTTACTATGATAGTGTTTGACCAAGTATTCATTACCTCACATTTACCGTATTATGAGATGTCATGTACCTTAATGTTTTAGTCGCTATTTTCCTAAGTACTACATTTATCATTAAAACACAGTGTATGGAAACAATGAATGTCAGGAAAAAAAAAAAAAATCAAGCCAAAGACTAGTTTAGAAAACAAAAATTGGATACCTAAACTAGCCTCCAGTGTGCCCAGTGGTCATATTCCATTAGCTTACTAATTATCTGATTCTTAACATTCTGTACAAGCTGATGGTGCTTAGCAATCTATTCTGACAAACATTAGTATCAAAATGAGCTTAGCAGAACTAGTGCTTACAGGTGTGCAGGGCATCGCTGCTTCCTACATAAGCCATCAATGCAGCTAATGTGGTCCACAGGCCTAGGGAAGTGCTTGTCCCCCTATGCTCAGCTCTGGTCAGCCCATGCCTTGAGTACTGTTCATGGTTTGGGCCCCTCATGACAAGAGGGTTCAGAGAAGAGCAATGAGGCTAGCGCAGGGACTAGGAAACAAGACCTCTGAGCAGCTGCTGAGGGAGCCGGGGCTGTTCTGCCTGACAGGAGGCTTCAGCAAGGTGCATGTCAGCCTCTTGTCTCAGGGGTCAAGTGATGGGACACTTGTAACAGCCTCAAGTTGTGCCAGGGGAGAATTAGATTGGGTATCAGAAAGAATTTCTTTACGGAAAGCGTTAAGAAATTGAACAAGCATTGGAATCGGGCCACCCAGGGAGGTGATGGAGTGGTGTTTAAGAGATGTGGTGCTTAGGAACATGGTTTAGTGGTGGACTTGTAGTGTGAGGTGGGTGGTTAGACTTGATGGTCTTGAAGGTCTTTTGATCTCTCTGTCATTCTAAATGATTCTGTGTTTCTAATAGATACATCCAACACACTTTTTCACGAGTGTGAATCACAAGTGTAGAGATCAATTTTAACCCTTCAAGAATAAAATTTTAAATTGCTGAAACTCAACTTCTTTTTCTGCTAATTTACAGACACACATGTGAGACATAACTTGTTCTGACAGCTTCTCCTTGTTGGTGTGAAGATTGTGCTGACTGACTGCTCTCAGTGGCTTTCAGCACCCTCGATTATGGTTTTCAAATGATTAAATGATGACACAGTGGGATAAATTTGATATCCATCCCAGCGGCTATGTTTTTACTTATGCAATTGCTGGAATTATCTCCTTTGAAAGGTATTCCTTTTTCAAACTTGGATGCTTAACAAAATGATAGAACTGTATGCAACAAAAACATTTTTCTAATCCCTCCTGTTAACTTGACCAAAAGAGTGGAAAACACATTACTGCTCTCTAGATGAAAAACCAGCTATAACCTCAACTAGACAGAGTATGTACCGTATTGCTGGGCTGGACAGCAGTAGCCAGAAAGCACGTTATTTCCACAAGGAGAAAAATGAAAGACTGCAGACAAAAAGTGACCTACTGATGTTACAGAACAAACCCATGGACAGAACATGTAACGTTTAACCTAGAACTCTTATTTCTTGTCCCATCAACAGGAACATACTACCATAAGAATGTTCTTTTGATACCTGTTTCTTAAAAATTCAGGACAAATTTCCTAACAGAAACTAACAGACACTATAAGCTTATTCATCTACTTTCGGTGACAACACCTTTTAGAATCCTACTGAGGATTCTACATCATCATACCAGGAGGCAGACTGAACAGTCTCTAAACCACTACATATTCCATTTAACAACTAGAGTAAACAACATCGAGATTACAAGGTATATATTATATTTTCTCTTTTAGTGTAATTAACATATTTACAACACTATGTCAAAAGACCTCTGCCAAAGCAAAGAGACATCCATAACAGATGTATATGCCTACCTTTTATCAACTAGTCTTGGTAACACCTTGTTAGCTGCCACTGATGTCAAAATTCCATGAATCTTTAATTTTCAAATTTTCTCAAGGTTCTAAGCACACACTTCAGTGTCACCAATTTTCAAGGTTTAGGTAGGATTATGGAGTTTTAAATCTTAAGGTCTATACCAATCAGATATTAAGCATTCCTCTATTCAAGTTTTCTCTGAAGATCAATCCAGTAATGAATTTCAGCACAGCAGCAAACTTTTTTTTTTTTTTAAATGCACACCCGGAGAGTGCCAGGACAGTAAAACAGCCTAGCGAATAATTGATACACACACACAGAATGGTCACAGGATACCTTGATTAATAATTTGTTTACTCTGACCAGATTAAAACTCCAGTTAGCAAATGCTCTCAGAAAGAACTAAGAGGTGTATGAG